ACACCCTGCACCTCTGGCTTACACCCCAGTTCTTGTATGCATAAATAAATGAAATCTTTTTTAAAAATACTGGTTTATGTTACTAATAAAGACTTTACTTTCCTTGATTAAAGTAGAAAAGAATACTTCTGTCTGTTCCATTCTAAACAATCTCTCAGTTTTGAAAGAATTAAGAAAATGTCTGAAACATCAATTCCAAAGAACACCTGCACCCCTATGTTTATAGCAGCACTGTTTACAATAGCTAAGCTTTGGAAACAACCCAAATGCCCAAAAATAGATGACTGGATCAAGATGATGTGGTACATATATACCATGGAATATTACTCAGCATTCAAAAAAGATAAACACATGCAATTTGCAGCAACATGGATGGCGCTGGAAGGGATCATGCTCAGCGAAATAAGCCAAAAAGAAAAAGAAAAATACCGGATGGTCTCACTCATAGCAGGAATCTAGAAAACTTAAATAAGGGACCAGGAAAATGAATATAAGAAAGTGAAAATCAAAATCAACAATAACCTATGAACCAGAGACACTTTTTGGGGGGTGGGGGGCGGGAGGGGAAGGATTGGGGTCAGAATGGGGCGTCTGCAATTGTATGGGGGAATATAAAAATAAAATTTATTATTTAAAAACAAAAACAAAAACAAAAAAAAAAAAGAAAATGTCTGAGAAGAAATACAAAGTGCTCTGCACTTGCAGATCTGTGGATCCCCTCTTTGCCAAGGGGCTCCCCATTCCTCTCCCTCTGGGGCTGTGAAAACCCAGCCCCTCCTCACTTAGGTCTCAGTAGGAATATCACCTGCTCTCAGAGCCCACCCTGAACACTGCAAGAAGAGTAGCCTCCCTCCCCTCTAACCTTCTCTGTTTATCTTCAGCACTTGTAACTACTGGATTTATCTTTTTTCTTTATGTTTTATTGCCCATCTCCCTTTGTTAGAATGTAAACTTCATGAGAACGGGAACTTTGCTCACTATTTCATCACTGCTCCATCCCAAGTACAGAGTGGCTCAAAGTTGTAGCTCAGTAAATACTGTTTGAATAAATTTTTCTCAATAGCATCAGGGCAAAGCTACTGTTTAAAAATTTGAATTAAACTTTCCTAGTCTTTCAAGAATGTAGGCACTAAAACACTACCCAGTTTGCTAGTGGATTATCTTTTAATAGACTCAGCAAGTTTTAAGAATAATCAAATACAAAAATACATATATAAGCAACTATATTTTGAGAGCAACTTTATGAAAGAATAAATATCTATGAAAGAATAAGTATCTATGAAAATAGCCAGAAATTTATACTATCATTAATTTTTCTTTAGCTATGAAGAACTTTATGGATTACTATGGAGTTTAAGAATTTTTTTCTGAGTGAATATAATCACCATTTTTTCCAAATCTTGCTAAAATAGATAACAGATGGTACAAAGGTCACTGATAGATCAGGCTACCCCTAAATTCCTCAAATACCAGATTAATGAGACTTCACTATGTAAAAATGACTCTAAGAAAGTGTTTAATTGCTCAGAAGTGATTATGTATTCTGCTGAACTTGAGACTTTAAAATTTATTAATGATGTTGAAAACAAATAATTTAATGGAAAAAATTGGCAAAGAAAATGAATATCTTAGAAGGATTCCAAATGGCCACAGATATATGACACCATCTTACTAATAATCAAAGAAAACAAATTTAAAGGACTATCATTTCAGCAAAAATGAAAAGTATCAACGATAGGCCATGTTAGCAGTGATGCGCAATAAAACATGAAGTATATATTAGTATGGTCTCTTTAGAGGGGGATTTGGCAGTGTCTATACAGTTTTTTTTTGTTTTGTTTTTTTGTTTTTGTTTTTTTATTTTTGGTGGGACCCTCGCCTGTAGCCGGGGATCAAACTGGCGCTGCAGAGGCCAGCGCTCAACCGCTGCGCAAACGTAAAAGAACACAGCCCAATTTGAACTGTTTTTTAAAACATGATTCTTGGGCCTCCCTGGTGGTGCAGCGGTTGAGTGCTGGGTTGCAAAACTGCCCGCAGCCTCTGTGGTGCCAGTTCGATCCCTGGCTGCTCCCTGACCACTGGAGGAGGGTCTCGCATGGTGCGCAGACCTCTCCTGCTGCCCGCTGCTCCCCTCAGCAGTGTACTTCGGTCCTTCTGCCTGCTCTGCTCTCTGCTCTGGCTCTGGTGGATTCTCTCACCCTCCCGCGCTTCTGATTGTACCCAGAGCTTGCATAAATAAATAAATCTTTTTTTAAAAAAATAAAACATGATTCTTAAACATAGACTTGTAGTTTATTTTCAACACAGCAGCCAGAATTAGCCCTTTATAATCTAATTCAGAATCCTGTTATTTCCCTGCTCAAAACCCTTACTGAGATTCAAAGTCCTCTCTACAATTTCCATCCCCACGAGATCTGGGCCTCTTCTGCAGCAGCTCTGACATCCTCCCTCTCCATGCTAAGGCTCTCCTCGTCCTGGCCTTTTTTCCTAATTCCTCAGGGGTTTTGTACTTGTTGTTTTCTTTGCCTTAGATCTCTTAGTGGCCAAAAGACATATGAAAAAATGTTCAACATCACTTGTAATCAGAGAAATACACATATATTAAAAAACTAGCAACAACAAATGTTGGCGAGGTTGTGGAGAAAAAGGAACTCTCCTGTGCTGCTGGTGGGAGTGCAGACTGGTCCAAACACTATGGAGAGTTGTGTGGAGATTTGTTGACCTACTAAACATAGAGCTTCCATATGATCCAGCAATTCCACTCCTAGGTATTACCCAGAGGACACAGAATCATTAATTCAAAAGGGCACCTGCACCCCTATGTTTATAGCAGCATTATTTACAATAGCTAAGCTTTGGAAACAACCCAAATGCCCAAAAATAGATGACTGGATCAAGAAGATGTGGTAATATACACAATGGAATATTACTCAGCAATCAAAAAAGATAAACACATGCAGTTTGCAGCAACATGGATGGAGCTAGAAGGGATCATGCTCAGTGAAATAAGCCAGAAAGAAAAAGAAAAATACCGGATGGTCTCACTCATAGCAGGAATCTAGAAAACCTAAATAAAGGACCAGGAAAAGACTAATTATACAAAGTAAAAATCAAAATCAGCAAGCAACTATAAACCAGAGATATACTACGGAGGGGGGATGGAAGGGGAGAGGAACAACTAGAGTCAAAATAAGGGGGGGGTGCAATTGTATGGAGAATATAACCAAAATGATAATGCATACATTACGCAAAAATGAAAAATGATGTAAGAATTATATAAAATAAAATATTAAAAAAAAAGATCTTCTCTCAGATATCCCTATAGCTTGCTTCCTCCTTCCTTCACATCTCTATCCCAATGACACTTTACAATGACCATACTCCTTGAGCACAGTCTGCTTTTGTGGAGAGAATGTTCCTTCTTGTCTTCCCCTTGCCCTGGCACTTTCTATTCTGCTTCTCAGCTTGCCTGTTCTTCATTTTCTTAGCACCATCCCCAAGTGATTATTTTATTATTCATTGGTTTGTGGTCTTGTGGTCTGTCATCCTCTGCTCTAATTGTGAATTCTCTGCAAGCTAAGATTTTTTTTGCTTTTTTTTTAAACTTTTTTTGGGTAAAATCACTGGGTTCTCAGCATTTAGAAAAACTGACTGTCCTACCTGACCGTTTCTGCAACTCACCACAGAAAGCAGGGCTGTAGCAGCCAACTCTCATTACCATTTGGTAGGAAAACTGGAACCCTTAGAATTGTAATTGAAAGTGAGCCAACCAGCTGGGTTGTTTTTACTGTATTATTTTTATTTTTTAAAGAGAGTCAGCTGGAATAAAAGTCAAGACTATTTGAGAACCAGTCCCTAGTGCACAGTTATACTTGATTTTATATTTGATTTTCACTGTTTTGGCAAAGATACAGATTTGGGCTGTGTGGCTATTGCTAATGATTCTCCTGTATGAGAGCACTGGGCTCAGCTTTGCTTGTTCAAAAACAATGATTTATTACTCCCTAGCTAGAGCTTCATTTTTTGGACCTCATGATTCTAATAACATTTCAGAAAGCACATCAATATATTCTGGTGGAGGGTCTGGTTACTGAAATTCACCTTACTTGGGACAAGAACAACACAGGCTTTGGAGTTGGACCATCCATGTGATCTTGAGTCAGAAAATTTAGCCTAAGCTTCAGTGTGTTCATCAGCTAAAGAAGATAATATATACCTAATAATATTACTGTTAAGATTAAATGAAATAATGCAGTTATAGTGTTCAGCATCATTCTTGTGAAAGTGAGAATTCAATAAGTCAGTACCACTATTTCTATGAGACACCCCCAATTTTCCCCTCTAAGACTCTCAGGTAGAATCTCCTAAAACAGTCTCTCACACAAAAAAATCTCAAGACTAAGCACTCTGGAACCGCCTCCCCCATTCATCAGATGAATAGAGTCGATAGTGTTCAAGTGCAGGGTCTCAAATTTAATTCTGAAACACACAAACATAAAATTATACACAGGGGACTGACCCTAGCAGGAGCTTTGGGCTGAAGCTCTTACAAGGCAGCTGAGTGGTCCCACCCTCCCCTCTGCACAAAACTATGGCCAGAAGTTTGTTCCTTGCCACCATCAGTCAAGTCAGCAAGAGATGATAGGGGAACTGTTTCACACCTGCAGACTGAAAAGTCACCTTCCCTCAGATCCTCACAGGGTAACACTGCCCTTTTCATCAAACCCCCCCTCACCCCCCGCCTCTTCTTTTCTTCCCACAACTTAGCAAACATTAATGAAGTGACCACCATAAGCCAGGCTCTATACCTGGTACTGGGGAGCTCCTTGTCCAGTAGGCATGACAGGCACTGACATGTAGTTCCCAAATGAGAGGGGGTGTCTAGAATGTTCTCTGAGGTGAGGATGGAGAGGGAAAGATGGGCCTAACTGGTCACCCTTAGCATTTATGGAGTTGAGACAGGCTGTTAACAAGAACATCTTGGTCAGCAGATCACTCACCACATTGGTTTTCTACATGACCCTGGCCCACTCCACAGGATTCAGCCTGGTGCTCAGGTGTAATGGGAGACTTTTTAGCCACTTGAAGGTCCATGCCCGAGAGCTGGAGGTGGAACTGCTCCCTGTGGACAGCCTTCCGGAGTGTGCGGAGGGCTTTCCGGAGCCGCTTCTCTGTTCGCTTTATGATGCAGCTCAGGTCACAAGAAGCTACAGAAATGAGAGGGCCAGCAGCAGGAGAGGAGGTCAGGCTGCAGTGGTAAGGACGTCCAGGCCAACTGCAGGACCCACCAACACCCACAGTTCCCTGTGGAGAATGGAGGAGACCTGGAGCAAGGGCACCTAGCAGGCTGGGCAGCAATTGACTCAAACAGAAATTTGTTGACCAAAATAGTAACTTTGGGTTTTTATGAAGCAGATACAATCATCACATTCCAAAACAATTTAGTTTAGTTTGGGGTTAAAAAAGGAAGGAAAAAAACAGGAGATACTTCAGTGGTTGCACTATTTTTTTTTCCCCAAGAATGATGAAAAGTGAAAGGCAAAGAGATAAGGAGCAAGCTGTGAGAAGCCTGGCACCGTATGCTGTTTTCAAACCAACCTGTCACCTCCTTTTGGTTAGTTTCAAGCTCAAACTCAACAGTGATAAACATTTCCTTAGTAGCACTTGGGCGGCCAGGGGCTCCCAGGACTTGCTTGCCGGAGCTGCATGTAAGGTTTGCGTAGAGGAAGCTCTCTTTTACTGAGCTGTGCTTCTCTGTATGAAGAAACAAAATTATCGGAAGCCAAATCCTGGCAAAGCACTCCGTTGAACATTCGCTAGAGCTCAGTAAACATTTCATTAAAACAACTCTCAAGGGACTAAACGATCAACTCCAGATGCCAAGATGTTGCAAGCCCTCAGCTTGGAGCACGATGACATTTTAATTTTGAAGAGCTAGTAAAGCTATATAACATTAAAATTTAGCTCTTGAAAATTATTTTCCTGGATAAATGCTGGATGTTTCCAACTGACTGGCCTCCTATGTGGAAGACGGGAACCAGGGGTCACCTTGCATTCCTTACTGGTAACACTCATGTTCTCACAGTTGGTTTCCTTAAAGCTGCACTGTGATGCACTGAGCAGGGGCTGAGGCTTCAAATAAGGAATGAACATCGGATAGAAAGGGAAGCAGGATTTCATGCTTTTAGGCAAACTGATCTTGGAGTAATTCTATCCCCAAGGGGAGGTTGGAAATCACATCAAGAGTGAAGTCCCATTTTGAAATAACTAGAAGCAGTAAATGGCCCGACATCAGAAGCAAACAATTTCATGAAGGCACGTAGGATGGGAGTAAAAGTGTCACAGGAAGCAGGGCTTTGCACATCCCCATCCCCATTTGGTGCTGTCTCCCCTCTCCCTATGGCATCTAGTGAATCTTTTAACTAATGACTGTTGACTCCAACTGAAGAGCAGGCCCATGTAGCATCCATGTAGTTAAGCAGTCTTTAGTTTGAAATCATCCTTTACTGAACTACGTATAACTTATGTCATAGTCTTCTTTAACATTACAGGGATGTTCAAAACAATGGGTCATCATGGACCAAAGGAAAAAGGATGTAAATTAATTTGCCCCTGAAGATCTATCTCACCTTCTCAAAAGTTCAACTTCAAATCTCTAACTACATAGATTCTCACTTTGAGCCTTTCTCCCTTTCAATTTTACATATCTATTTTTATTTTTTTTTCTGGAAATAAGTATAGATTTATAAAACAGTTGCTAAGATAGTACTGAGTTCCCATATATTCTTCACCCAGTTTCCCTTAAAGCTAGCACCTACTGCTAACATGTGCTTTTATCAACACTAAGAAATTAACTCTAGTGAAATACCATTAAGTAAACTAAAGACAAAATCTATTTTTAAATAATGCTTTTCCCCACTGATTTAAAAGTATAAACGCTCACTAGGGACAATTTAGAAAATGCAGGAAAAAGAATTAAACTCACCCATCATCCTCCCACCCAGATATAGCTACTTCCAATGATAGATTTCTTTTTTACTTCTTCTTCCCACACTTTCTCTTATACAATTTAGATTGCATTAGGTATACAAACTGTTACTCTCCCTGTCCCCATCTTAGCATTATAACAAGAACTTTTTCCTATGTTATTAAATAGTCTTTGAAAACATACAATTAATAGCCACATAATATCCCATCAAATAGAGATGCCTAAATAAATCTTGGTTAGTTACTTAAAATTGACAGTCAAAAATTACTAGAGTGGACTTTATGTATATTTTCTTATGTTATTTATTTGAGGATAGATTAAGGAAAGAAGCCTCCCTAATATATGAATTTTAATTTTTTTTAATCTTCAAAATTATCCTATGAACTAACACTAGAAATGTGAGCTGAGGAGGAGAGTGTTGGATTCTCCTCTTTCCAGTAAGGGCCAGGTCTATTTAGATAGTATTTATTCTGCTGAAGCCAATGGAGTCATGGTCTCCAAAAACTAGATCCAACAGGAAAGCTGGATATTGCATCTTTGCTCATCAAAGCCTGTCCTTTCTGAACCAAACCTCTTTTTTTTTTTTCCATTTCCTTGCCTTATATTTCAAGCAGACTCTAAGATCTAGAAAATTTAACCCAATGTGATCACAAATTGATGCATATCAATTCCTGTGAACTCACAGTTTTCCCTGGAGCTTCACTATCTATACTTGCAAAGGAAGCTCTGAACTATAACCCCTGAACTGAGCATGTGTGCTAGACTCAGCTCTTGGAGATTCACAACTGTTTGAGCCCATCTGGCTTGTTACAGGCCCCTTTCCCAACATGCAGGCAAGCTCCCTATACCAGCCATCTGATTCCATACCTGGTAGTGCTGGTCGCAGACTCTCAGGAAACAGCTCAGCCTTTTTCAAACTACACTTGCCTTCATTTAGCTTAAAGGTTATACTTGTCTTGACGGTGGCGACATCTTCAGAAAGAAACAAGTAAGAGATGTTACCTTCAGAGGCAAGGGAATGGAAACAGCAGATGGGTATTGGCGAGCTGTCCATTGGCTGGTGGTCTCACCACAGGTAGCACACCCTGAGCCCCTCTCCTATGGTGAAATATGAGGTCATTTTCATGCCTTCCAAAGAAAGAAGTTCAGAATCTTCTCGTTCAAATTTGGACAAGACTATTGAGAGAAATGGTGAAAGGCATATTCTCCTAAAATAAGCCTGTCCTGAGAGGACAGGGCAGAGGGAGCCACCACTCCAGATAAGGATGGCACTCATTGAGTGTGGCTAGGATTTTCAGGGTCTGGGAAGGGTCCCACTCTGAGGGCCACATGTACAAAATGCTGCTATCTTCCCACAGTCACTCTTAACCATACGTGAGGCTACAAAGCCAATGACCAGATTCAAATTACAGCTCTTTGACTTGTGATGAGAACTTCAGCAAGTTACTTGACCTCCCTAAGCCTAAGTTTCCTCATTTGCAAAATAGAAATAATTATAGTACCTGCATTACCAGGTCACTGTGAGGATAAAGTGAGATAATGCGGGGGTGTGGGGGGGAATATTTAGCCTACTGTTTGGAACATAGTAAGAAGCAAAACACAGTTAACTATTTCCTTGCTCACCTCATGGTGACCTAAATCTCTAAGTGACCATCACTGAGGGGTTTGGTGAAACAGATAATGATGTTTGCTCTGGTTGGATCCAAATGTCTGGCAAGAGGGATGGTGAAGGACAGTGCTTGAGACTCTGTATGCAGACAATCTGGTTAGTCCTAGATGCCTATTTCCTATCTGAGGATTATGATAAAGTTGCCCCAGTGGGCTATGGTATGGCTTAAATCAGCTAACCCATGTAATACAGTGATTGGCATATTTTAGCTGTTCAATTCACATGTGGGAGATGTTATTATCAAGATTTGGGCCTCTAGCTTTCCTTATATACATAATGTAGACATCAAGAACCACTTCTTTGTTCAGATATTCTTGCATTATAATCACAAAGCTGTCTAAATCAGAGGATGAAGCCTCCTAAAAGCTATAGTTTTCATTCTTTGTCTTTCGATGGCCTGAGAGCTTGGAGCCCTTTCTCTGGACAGAACCCTCACTCCCTGTGTCAAGCTCGTGTCTGACTCTACTCATGCCATGTGCCCCAGTCACTCATTTCCTGCAGGTCTTTGAGGTGCCCGGGAGGACTAGGAGTTGGACACCTAAGTCTCCCCATCCGAGAGCTCTATGGGCTTCTGCCCAATATGATGAGCCATCAAGGCTGAACACGGAGTCTCCTGGCACACAGTAGACATTCAGTAAATAGCTGTTTTTTGGTGAGTTAGATTCCAAGTGCCATGGCTGCAGACAGGAACAGCCTATAATGTGCTCGTGGCATTGAGGAGATTAAGAGAAAAAAATACAAAGCCAATGCCCAAAAACAGCACCCTATGAATGCTGCCCATTGAATATAGTGAGCCCAGAGAGAATACAGATTTGGTAATTACCCCCAAAAGCAGAGTCATTTGACTTTTGCTGTTTGCTCCTGAGAAGAGAAGAAGAGCCGCAGGTGACAGAGTAGGCCTCTTGCAGTCCTGACAGACAGAATGTGGATTGTCAACATGTAAACAAGATCATAGTATCTCCTCATAGCAGCTAAAGTCGCCCCCACCCCTACTTCACATGGTCACGAGAAAAAAGCCCAGTATATGGGGTCTCAAATGTAGGCCTCTAGGGCAGCTGGTTAGAGACCTAGAAACTCGTTGAGGGCATCTAACACCTAAAGGCCAAGCAGACCTGGCCCTGGCAGGGGGACCCGCCCAAGGGACTGGGCCCCACTCACCTGAAGAGAGGTGAATGCCAGAGTGACATCTGAGGAAGCACCTGTCTCCTCCACCACTCTTACTGCAATGCAGGGACACGTGGGGTGATACACTAGTGGGCAGGAGCCCCTTCACTTCTAGACAGGACAAAATATAGACACTTACAGAGAAAGAAGGACACTCCCAGATGTGAAAAGGACAACTGAGACCCATGCATCCAAGGCCCCAAGAAAAGAATTAGAGCTGTCTGTCACCCAGCACAGAACACGGACACCAGGCATGATTTCACACCAAGGGATAGCAGCTCCTTGTAGGCTATTCTTTCATGCAAAACAGCAACCAGGAAAACAGAAGTGAGTTCCTACACAGAAGCACAGAAGGAAATGCCAAAGAGCCTGAAAAGTATCTCCTGTTTTTGAACTATTTCAAGAAGGCTGCTGCAGATAAGGGGAGGAGAGGTCGGTAGAGGGGTGGTCAGCCGCTCTCCGGTTAGGCTGGGTGAGGGTGTGGAGGAGGGTCCTAGGTCAGTGGCGAGCCCGCCAACTGTGCCTCAAGCCCCTTACCCACACAATCTTTTTGGTTCCAATGGAGCTTGTATGCAGAGTGGCACTGGCATTCGTAGCTCCCCACTGTGTTCACACAGAGCTGCTCACAGCCTCCATTGTTGATGCTGCACTCGTTGGTGTCTGTGAAACAAGATATCCTCCTGTCACTGCAGCCCATCCTGACCTGCCTGACACCATCCCTTCCTTGAGGAAGGAGCAGGAGGGGAGGCACTTGGTTGAAACTCACAAAACAAAGGAACAGTGCTGACTGCCCTCAGGTAATACACTTGGCACCAGCTGGCCACATACCCCACTCAGTGGATTTTCTGGCATGAGCCTCACCAGGGTGATCTCAAATTCCATTCTTGACCAAACCATTCCCCCACCAGGGACACTCAGTAAGGATCACTCTACTTCCAAATGTCCAAACTCATATACTTCACAGGCTTCCAATTTAAAGTCCCACCATCCTTCTGGGCAACATACCAAGGGAGAAACAGACATAAATAGGATTTTCCCACTTGCCTGTTCATATAATTGATCTCTAAAGAAGGAAAATGACTTGAGCTAATCCTCATCTACTTAAGAATAAGACCAACTAAAACGGAGATATTCAGGGAACATTTCCTTGGAATTTCTTTTTTTTTTTTTTTAAAGATTTATTTATTTATTTATACAAGCACTGGGTACAGTCAGAAGCGTGGGAGGGTGAGAGAATTCACCAGAGCCAGAGCAAGGAGCAGAGCAGGCAGAAGGACCGAAGTACACTGCTGAGGGGAGCAGTGGGCGGCAGGAGAGGTCTGCACGCCATGGGGGACCCTCCTCCGGTGGCCGGGGAGCAGCCGGGGATCGAACTGTCAGTGCAGAGGCTGCAGGCAGCTTTGCAACCCAGCACTCAACCACTGCGCCACCGGGGAGGCCCATTCCTTGGAATTTCTGGATGAACCCTAAAAGTATGTGTTTAGGCATACCAAGGGTGTGTTGGAAACTATGGCAGATGACTATCATCCATTCTTCTTAAGCACAGGATACAAGGACTGGGCAGGAAGTATTTAGGCCAGTGGTTCTGAAATCCTGAGATCCTCAGAATCACCTTGGAAGCCCTAGACATTCTAAATCTGTATGCTCAAAGATTTCTAAGTGAATCTGATGATCAGGGGGACCAGAGTGCAAGTCAATTGGTGCCAAATCTGATACTTGCCATAATCTACTTGACCACAAGTTCATATGCCATCAGCACATGTGGCCACATGGGTACAGAGCAGAGAGATAAAGCTGATGGTCTCATTTCCAGCTCAAAGACCCACTCAGAGGGGCCTCCCTGGTGGCACAGGGGTTAAGACGCAACCTATGAAGAAATCTGCAGTCACTGCAGCACGAGTTCGATTCCCGGCCGGCCAGGGAGAAACCCATATGGCAGGACAGCCCTCTCCTGTCTTGCCCGCTGCTCCCCTCAGCAGTGTACTTTGGTCTGTCTGCCTGTTCTGTCCCCCACTCTGTCTCTGGTGGATCCTCTCACCCCCCACATCTCTGGCCTGTACCCCAATTCTTGTATAAAAATAAATAAATCTTTAAAAAAAAAAAAAAAGACCCACTCAGAGACCTACTTAGAGACAAACGCAGGGACCAGCTCAAAGAGCTCAAACCAAGGCTTCACAGCCAGTGCCCACACCCAGCAGAACTGGGGAGTTGGTTGTTACCCTGCCAAAAACTCTCTGAGGACTGTGACCTTACTATCTGCTGGGAAGTCCCAACAGGTACAGTATCAACTCCTGGGAGAGCCTCTGATCAATAAAGTTGATAGAGAATTCACAGTTAAAGTGTTGAGTTCTTTTCGCTGCTCAATTTCACATTTGATATGTTAAAGGGATAAATGTGAGGAGATTTCTCTCAGTAAATATTTCTCTTGAATTGATAGACTCACTACTACTATTCAGAGAGTGGAATGTCCCATTGATAGACCAGTGTAGGAAAATTGGCCTTGATCTGTGAAAAATTTTAGGGGTAGGCTCTGCAAGCCCAATCACATCCAACTCACGAGAGGTAGTTTGCTCACCTCCACAGTGGGTAAAGCCATAAAGGGTGTACCCTTGGTTGCAAGCACATGCAAATGTGCCAGGGTGGTTGATGCAGCTGTGGTCACAGGTCCGATCCAAAGAGCATTCATCCACATCTGTAATGGTCAAGGAGAGGGGAGCTGAAACCAGCTTTGAGTGATAAGTGGAGAGAAAATGTTTATAATACCTCTAATTGTTTACCTCTAATAAAACAACACGAACAAAGTCAAATATTACCTATCAGTTCTCCCCAGTCTCTTGTGTTAAAGAAAGTGTTGAACAGTCCTCAATAAGTATACTCAATGCCAGAACCCTTATTTCCAAAATCTATTGCAAATTGCACTTACCTAAAAGCTTGGTGAATATCTCTCACCTATGCATATTTGCAGGGTGAGTAATTTAAAATATTTAAATGGAGCCAAAAGAGATAACCTAAGTAAAAAAAAGTTTGTGAACTATAAGAGGCCACCTAAGCATTATTATTATATTACTATTGGTAAAACTGAAATAGCAATTTTATAAACCATAGCAAATTGAAAGGAGAAAACACTTGGGTTAAAGACAAATCTGATTCATATCTCTTTCTGATCTTTCTAGAATTAGTCTTCTGGCCCCACGTGGCCAGTTGATCCCAGGTTTTAATGCCTTCTGCACTAAAAGAATGCATTAATGTTAACAACCTCATTTTTTTTTATTGTAGACACTGAAATTTGGTGCTTAAGCTCTAAATAAGCCTCTTGGCCAATTCCTTGGCTTTATTCCTCTCCCATGATTCAGCCCTTCCCTTCTTGATTCAATGTGGAGGCATCCTTGACTTTAACTGAAGTCATGGGAGGAAGCTGCACTTGTCTATCTAATCATCTTTTCTTTCCTGGTCTGGGGAAGAAGGCTGGGTCACATCTTTCCTGAAGATTAGAATTTCAGCAGAAGGTTTTAACAGTTATGACTTGTGAGTCCAAATGGATATGCCAGAACCAGTGCAGAAGCGAGTAGAAGCCAACCAGACCATGGCTAGATCTTTTTCCACACCACATGTGCCATGAGAAATTGCATTAATAAAAAAACAAAGATTTGGAAGGAACTAAAGGAATGAAAAAAAATAAAATAAAGGGAAAATTTTTACAAAACTTCTTCATCTTTAGCTTTTCCCAGAAATCCTGGTAATTTCTTCAGTAAATTTGTTCTATACAAATATTTGTTTTACCAAGACTGACCAGTGAAAAATGAGAAAAAGTCTGCTTCTACCACAGTAATTGATGTCACTCAATGAATTCTGTTATTAATATCAGCCAGTTGTTGAGAAAGTGAACTCTTTCAGTAGCTGACTTTGGCTGCTCGTGATGAGCTTTTACTTTGCCAAAAATAATGAGATCACTTTTCTAATTCCTTTTTAATGTGTTTACACAGCTTAAACAGTATCCATGCCCTATACATTATGAAACATTATGTGGAACAGAAAAATTGCTTTCTAAGTCACATGGAAGAAAAGCACACAATAATCATCTAGAAAAAACTTACTGAATTTAAAGGGGGGTATTTCTGAACTGCCTGACATGTTATATATTAAGAACATAAATACAGAAGAGAAACCTAATTCATAATTTAAGGTGTTTTTTTTTTTAAGTAATGTTACATCTGTAATTATCTGAAGAGAAATTCAGATATTTTCTGATTTTGATTTAATTCTGAAATTTCTAACAAAATAAATTAGGCTGTGCTAATTCCCAGAAATGGAACAGGAATAAACAACAGCATAAAAGGCACTCATTTGAAAATATAAATGACGCCCCCTATTCCAAAAGAAATTTGCCACCACCCAAAATAAGTGTTAATATCAACAATAACTGCTACCCAGAGAAACTCCTTGGTTTACCCCTTAAGTGGGAGAGATGCATCTGAGAGGGTCTGCAGTCCTGCCCATGCACTGACCAGCCTCTCCTCCTTCAGTCCCCTCCACCTCTCCCCTCCGTCCCTCTCCCTGGGCGCCAAAGGCTGGTCATTCAATGAAGGACTATAAGGAAGAGACCAAGTGATGGGTGATCCTGATCACAGGGGGACCCTAACTTTTGTTAGGAAAAGGGGTGTTAATTAAATCTACATATTTTCGCTACTAAATTTTGTTATAAAATCCAAACCATTAAGAGAAATTTTAGAAAAGGAAAAGTATTCATTATCTCAACACACTAATGTAACTATTTGCATTCTGTGATCCATTCCATTTCTAGCAACAAGCTCTACTGTGATCACACCAGATGGGTTTCTTTGAGGTGTTCTCTAATCACTAACAGCTTAATTTCCAAAATATACCTTTACGCTACATCAGTGTTTTTATTCTACTTAACAGATGAAATAAGTGAAGCACAGGTTGGAGGTTGGAATAATGACTCCGTCAAGAAGTCTAGCAAGCCAGTCTCTGCCAGAGCGGAGGTTTCCTCTTCTCTCCTCCAACTAGCGGGCATGGCACAGCACAGCTACATTTCAGCACATACCTTGGCAAGACTTCTCATCTGTTAATAATTTAAATCCCTTTTTGCAGCTGCAGTCAAAACTGCCCACGGTGTTTTTGCAGAAATGATCACAACCTCCATTTCGGGTCTGGCACTCATCAATATCTGTAACAGGCAAGCATCGGCAAATCAGACAGCGATACTTGCCTCGTTTTCCACAAATCCCTGAAGTGTTATTGTGTGTGCTTCATTATTCTCTGAAACAAAAACAGACCCATAAAAGCATTTGAGAATGTTTGCTTATGTTCTTTTTTTTTTTTTTTTTTTTTTTTTTTTTTTCTTTTTTTTTTAATATTTATTTATTTATTTATTTATACAAGCACTGGGTACAGTCAGAAGCACGGGAGGGTGAGAGAATTCACCAGAGCCAGAGTGGAGAGCAGAGCAGAGCAGGCAGAATGATGAAGTACACTGCTGAGGGGAGCAGCGGGTGGCAGTGGAGGTCTGCGCGCCATGTGGGACCCTCCTCTGATGGCCGGGGAGCAGCCAGGGATCGAACCGGCGCTGCAGAGGCTGCGGGCAGCTTCGCAATCCAGCGCTCAACCGCTGCGCCACCGGGGAGGCCCATGAGAATGTTTGCTTATGTTCTTAATCTAACACGTTTTCTTGTCTTGCTCAACCAATTTTGAAAAACCAGTATCTTTTGAACTCTAGCATTAATGGAAAAAACTTTAGGAAAAATGGTGATGTCCTGTTACATTTTCATCCTTACACTGTTTGCCCAAGATAAGATGGCTCCTTTGGTATACGTTTTACTCCAGGGTAAGTGATTAAAATTATAAGGAACTAGAACATTTGTTTTGGCAAATTGCACAATGATCAAATAGCCTCAATGCTTTTAAATGATTCCTGATACTCAAGTTAATCTTACCTTTTCTCAGTTTCATCTGCTAACTGGTTATCTACTTTTTATCATGGTAAAGAACTGAACCTTTGTACTCTTGCCCATGAAATACTAGCAGGCCACTGGGATCTCTATTCATCAGTAAAAGTTAATGGTACAGTTATTCATTAAGTTCTCTGGATAATAATCTTGGCTGTTATTTATATAATAATCTCTAGGCTATTATTTATGATATGGTGATATTATCTCCTGCAAATGAATGTTTCCTTGAACTTCTGCTTTTTTCTAATAAGGCCACTGCCTGAAATGGATTATTTGATGCTTGTAGCAGCTGACCTACAGTTAGTGTAATTAAGTTGGTTCTAATTAGACCTACTCAATTATAACCTTCTACTAGCCCAGAGAAGAAAAACTGCTGTCTATATGAATCATAGCAAATGTGAAGTCACTCAGGAGGTGTGGAGGGAAATAGTTGCTTTTATCCCCACACATTAGCAGCATGGTGGGGCACAGGTTACCTTTACAAGTCTTCCCATCCAATTGGAGAGTGAATCCGACTGGACAACTGCAATGAACACCTGTGGAAGTATCCTTACAGGTGCGATCACAGCCCCCATTGTTGACAGCACATGTTTCTGGCAAGGAGGTAAGAAAAAGGCAGTTAGCTTCCTAAAAAAGTGCTGATACAGCTGACAAGAAAGGGATGCAGGTGCAGTGTTAATACTTGACAAAATTCATGAAAGCCAAGAAGCGTGGTGGTGTACTTACAGTTATACCTCAAGTCTCTGCCACCTGCAGGTGAGATAGAGTGAGAGAAGATGCTCTCCCACTATCTAAATAAGTGACATCTTCCAAGGTAGCTTGACAGAGTGACCTGAAGGTCAAAGATGTCTCTCTCAACCTACTGGGACTTTCCCCTTCACTGTCAGATTTGAAGCTATTAAATGAAAAAACCTACAGATAATTGACATTTGAGGATCTCCATGTGTGGCAGGCTAGATGTGGATGCAGAAGAGGACAAAAGTGTGTGTGTGGGGGGCTTTCCTTCTGGAACCCTGAACCCTCTCCCTTTGATATGAGTAAGGGGCAAAGCAAGAGTGGATAAGTGTTGCCACTTATTCTCTTGCTGCAAATCAATGACTTCATCCTTGTAACTGCCAATTAACTCAGATTAGAAGTTTACCTTTCAGCTGCCTCCCTTCTGCTTGCCTGTTCCTATACAAGTGCCTCTTTGCCTTCCTTCTCTCTTGCGCAGCTCTCCTAGCCACCATGATTATGCAGATGTTTCACTTCACTTTGCAAAGAGGCAGAGGCAGCTCTCCTCCCAAGGCTGCCCACCTGTGACTATGCAGGCCTTTCTTGAAGCAAACCTGTCCCTTTCAGGGGCAGCTCCTACTGCCCACTTGAGTCTATGCAAGTGCCTTTTATTCTTCTCTCCCCTTTTTGTAATAAGCCTGCCCTTTAGGATAGTAAAAAAAAAAAAAAAAAGTTTACCTTTCCCTTAAAGGAGAAAGACCTGTCAGAACTAAAAAAATCAGCCACCATAGTTAAATCACAACTACAAAGATGAGGAACAATAATCAAATTCTAATTCTGCATTTCACACAGCTATTCCAAGCAATAGACAAATGTTATCCAATATTCATTTAATTGTTAGTGTCATCTAGACACCTGATTTTACTTCCATAGCTAACTCATTACAAAGCTGGGGGTTGAGGAGTGGGAGAAAGCTCAGTTCTAATTAAGTATGACAGAACACATGTTTATCTGTTTTCTCTCAAAACTCACTAAAATGAGAGTGAATAGAGTTTTAAGAAGTATAAGTCCTTAAGGACAAAGATAACAGAAGAAGGCAATATGAGAGATGTCAAATACCCCGGAACTGGCTTGTCAATGGGGTAGTAACTGGCAGAACAGAAAGCTGAACCCTCACACTTTGCTTATGTGAACCACAGATTCCCAGGAAGACCCAGGAATTGGAGATACTAAATTACTCTAAAGGAAGATTGACTGAGACTCTGTCAAAGAAATAAGCACCCAGACTCCCAGGAGGCAGAGGCACAGTCAGCAAAGTCTACACTCTAAAGAGAAAGACCTCAAATCTTCAACCCTCCATCCTCTGTCAGCCCCCACAATGCTGGTAGCTAAATCTCTGTCCCCCCAGCAGGAGATTGAAGGATTATTCTCCAGCTAAACTGACCTGTTCAAATGAAAAACCTACAGATAATTGTCATTTGAGGATCTCCAAATGAAATGACTAATTCACTGCCTAGTTAGCCAAGCAGAAAGCCCACCAGTTGACAGAATACCCATCGACTTCTTGGTATTTCACTATAAAATATAAAAATTCAGTCAGGAATCATCAGACATTTCAGAAAAGCCATTACTATGAAATACACACACCAAATAAAATGCACATGAGAAAAGAAGTTGGAGAAAACAAAGCTAATACAAAGGACAAAAGAAAAGTTTTTAAAAACTTATAATTAATTTCCTCAGGGAGATAAGAAAAGCATCTAGAAAATTAGAACAGATCGCTAGAACAAAGGTCCAAAGTAAAATTCTTGAAAAATTAAAATATAAAAGTAAAAATTAATAAACAATCCTAAAGAAGGATTAAAAGGAGAAGGGAAAAATTCTCCTAGAAAGTTTAACAAAAATAAAGAGAGAAGAAATGGGAGAATAAATCCAGGAATTGTAACAGCCAACTAAAGGTGGTCCAGGGAGAAAGAACATAGAAATGGAATGAGGAAACTATCAAAGGAAAAAATAGAAGTGTCCACTACCAGGAAACTTGATTGTCCCTATTGAAAAGGCCTATGAAGTGTTCAACATAATGAGTGCACAGTCCCACAGGCAGAGGCATTACTAATACTAATCTTCAGATCACTAAGGATAAGAAGACAGTCCTGAAAACATGCAGAGAGAAGCTATTTGAAAAGGGTGGTAGATCTTGGTCAGAAGTTTGCAAAAGAATTGGTAAGAGGTACTTAGAAAATGAAACAAAGAAAATATAATTATAGTTTTGTTACATGACTCAGGGGTGAATCATATTTAAATATTCATAGTCACAATACTATAAACATAAATATTGATTTAAACTGTGATAAAATTATTTTGAGGAGGAGAAATAGGGAGAGAGATTTGGAAAAGAAGAGGCAGAAAGGGCTACCATTTAGTTTTCTGCAGTAGGAAGTCAAAACCTAATATCTAATACTGACAGCAAGAAATAATGGCATAGAATTTCAGTAAAATGAAAAATAAACACTTCGCTTTTCAGAACTATAGGGTAAGGGGTATTTAGAGAGGAAACAACTAGGAGAATTGAAAACTGTGGCCTTTGGCAAATGGGATGAGGAAAAGAGAAGTTATGGGGCAAGAAAATGGTGTAATGCATTACCAACTTACTACAAGTTAGGTTTTTAAGAGTTTTATATTATTTCTATGTGCTATTTTTAGCAATTAAAAATAATAATTTTAATAGAGCAGAAAGGTACTCAGAAATGTCACCTGCATGCTAATAATATCTTGCTTGACTGTTACATCTAAAAGCTATTAAAAGATCAGTTTAGTGTAGGTAAAGCCAAGCTTTTTCCAAATAAATAAAGTGGCAAAGGAGCCCCACAACCAGCATCTCTCATCTCCAATCCAATCCACTGTTGGACCTGCTGGACCTTCCCATGTCTCCACAATCAAGTACTGCTCTTCTGCATTCAATTTTTCTGTTATTAACAGGGACTGAGTCAAAAATAGTGGACAAAAAAAACCAAGAGGATCACCCGAAGTGCCTCTGTGGTCACTCAGAAGGAAAGGGACTGACAATTATGACTACTCACCAAGTCCCAAGCATTGGATTCTGGGCATTTTTGCATATTGTTATCTTAACTCAACTTCCTGAGAAGGTAGATTTTTATTACATCCATTTTAAGGAAAGACCAGGAGATGGAGATGCCTCGGGGCAGTCTAATTGCTAGTCTAGCTGGCAGGGGCAGACTAGGAAGCTAACCCACTATTCTGATGGTCAGGGCAGTGCTCTTCCCACAATATCAGGGGTCTTGGTTGGTGACTAAACAGCAGCAGTGTCAAGTCAGACAGCCCTGGCTTGACAGGAGTTTTTCCCCGTGGCCAGGTGGTCTGAGGGTACATGGGCCCCAGGTTCAGGCCTGATGTAGGAAGTTGGGGAGAGAAATTGACAAGGCAGTGGCAAGGGGAGGGCTGGTGAATCACCTACCCATGAGCAGCCGCCGTTTCACCCGTTTATCCCCATCGGCCACTGACGTGGCATTGCTCTCTGTTACCTCCAGGGCAGTATCCTCTAGCTCTGTAAGAGTCGCAAGAGAGTGCATTTCTCAGAGGGAATGAGTCAGGTTATTCATCCTCTGCACAATCACTTCTGCTGCAATCCCAGATATGAGAACAATGCAAGATATACGACTGTTCACTCAATAAAAATGTATTGTAATGAGGCTCTGTGGGCAACACAGCATGTTAAACATCCCAGAGTTTCTGTAAACATAAAATATGGGAAATATTTCTGAAGTGTATTGCACTGACCAGAGACACTAGGGAATACAAGCTTCAGTACATTAAGTGTCTTGAGTCCAGGACAAAAAGAACGTTGGTTCTGGGAACCTCTACATGGTGCAAAGAACATGCCATGAAGGGCCAGGCACTGTGGCAGAAATGTGCAAGCCTGGCTCCTGATGGCTGTAAAGGCTGCTATGTCATCACAACAACTAGCTTCAACGCCGTGGCCTCTTGGGGTGTGTTGTTCCAGTCTCCAGAATACCAGGAGCAGCTTTATTCAGAAAAGGAGAAAGGGCTTAGCTAGGTGGCACAGGGAGAGAGGATCCCCTGCTAGGCCTAGACCATTGTCATATGTGAAGCAGCTGGGAGGCCATTTGAGGAACAATGCATAGGAATCACCCTGCATCTGGTGCTGAACATGATTAAGAGTTAGGGTTATGGTTAGGGTGAAGGTTATGTGTGGGGGGCAGGCTGGGGCACACCTCATACAGTGTTGGGGTCACCACTCACCGAGGCAGCTCCTCCCATCTGCGAGCATCTTGTAATGTGGATGGCAGCTACACTCTGGGCCTTCAACCGTGTCCTCACAGGAGTGCTGGCACCCTCCGTTTCCATGGTTACAGGTCACTGAGAGGAAAATGAATCAATACATAAAGCACTGAGATCTAGCCATTCATCAAACCAAACAGTGCTTACTTCAGGCAAAGGAAACAGGAGGGGAAGGTTATATATTTTCTTTATCTACTCGGGGCTTTTTGAATTCTTACACAGGCATTTATGATTTTTCTAATTTAAAAGAAAAAGGAATATATTTGCAATGTGAGAAAGAACTTGTTCTGTGATTAGTTACGTAAAAATTATATATTGATATGAACAACTAAATAGAACTATGAAGGAAAAAAAATTGGTCATGTGGTGGAATTTTGTTCTTTTTTCCCTCAAATATGTCTATATTATTTGAGCAGTGACATCTTACAAATATTTAATTTTTTTAAATAAACTTCCACATATTGTACTGGCCCCGGAGAAACTGAAATGCTACACAAGTGAGTCCTGGAGGATTGGGTCCTTTTGCACTACCTGGAGCTAGTCTAAGCGGCCTCCACTCTGCCCAGCTCCCCAGTAGCCCTAGTGACAGTCTCACTTCAGGGACCCGAATAGCCTGTTGTTTAGGTGTGATAGTGACACCAACGTTGGTTTGACAGACTTGGAGGCTGCACTCTGCTTTGCAATGAGGACTATGGAGAAAAGTCACCTGCAGTACTATCTCATTTCTTAACTACTAAGGATTTCTCTCTGTAAACAACCACCCCTAGCAAAGTCTAAGGGTCTTCCAGAAGATCCATGGCTTTGGGAAGAATTTCTAAAGGGAAACCCCAGTGTCTCCTCTGGCAGAAATACTGGTTCAGGAGAATCACTGATGGTTGTTGTTTCCTACTATATGTTGGAGTTTCGTCATTGTGTGGCAGATGTGTCTGGACTGTGCACCATTCACCACCCCATTCATTAAACCCATGTGTATTGAGCACACCCTGTGCTGGGCACCAGGGGAAAGTGAGAATCAAAAGTAAGGACAAGTTCCCTCACGTGAAGATGCCCGTAGCTGGGGAGACAAACACATAAATACATAACTCAACCCAGAGTTCATGCACTATAATTGAGGAATAAACATGCTGTGAGAGCTAAATACAAAATGGCTGCCCTGTCTGAGGCCATCGGGAAGGAGCTGAGGTAGCATAGCACAGTGACTGAGAGCACAGGCCCAAGGATTGGAGGGTGTGTTTTCTACTTTGCCACTTGCTCCCTATATGACTTTGTTGCTTTACTTTCTCCACAAATGTCTCCTAAAAATAAGGATATGTGAGGATTGTAAGAATCAATGGGGTATGGTACATCTTTGGACAAGACCTTGCCCATAATAAATGCTCCCTAACAAGGTAGCTATTATCCTTATCATTATGAAAATTAAGGCAGGATATTGAAGTTGAGAATTCACCAAGCCAGGAACGAAGGACAGCTTGGAAAAGGCTTGAGAGCAGGAGAGAATATGGACTGTGGATTGTTCTCGGAAAGGCAAGGAGTTTGGTGTTTTGAAAAGGAGGCAGATGAGGCTTGGACAAGAAGAAAGAAGCAGGGAACAAAGACCTGTGATTGCCAGAATAAGGGAATTTTATTTTATTCTGTGGAAACAGGGTGACTGAACCACCTAACACTGATATTCTTTATTCTTGAATTTCATTTCCTTCTAACTTGTTCCTTTAAAACCCCTAATTTCCCTTGCCCTTTCCTTTATGAGACTACTCTTGTGCTTAGTACTCAGTGAAGGTCAGTATCTCATGCCCGCTGCCTTCCCTGCTGCTGCTGCTGTGCCGTCAGGTGACATTTCTGATGACTCAGCTGCAGAAGACAACCTCTGGGGAGGGTGGTTCCCAGGGTGGGCACACAACAGTCTATACTTACAGATGCAGTCTCTCTGATTCTTGGCCAGCTCAAAACCAGGCCTACACTCGCAGGCAACACTGCCCCTTGGGGCCTCCTTGCAGATGTGACTACAGCCGTGATTCTTATTCATGCAGCTCAGACCCTCTGCAAAACAGCAGCAGGCAGCAGGTAACCAGGCTGTGGTCAGGATCCTCAGGGCACTGCAAGGGTTGAGGGGTGGGCCACAGACCAACCTGCCTAGGTCTCCATCAGCCCCACATTTTAAAAGAATATGTCATTAAAATCAAGCCAGGTCAATTAACAGAGTCGTGAAAATGTTATGTCAACCAAGAGAGATGATGTCTCAGCTCTCTTAAAGAGGTAGGAGCCCGCCTAATAAATGGAAAAGAAAGCTCTCTGTTGGGTGTGGGGTCAGAGCCTGTAAACCCCAGGAACTGCTATCCAGACTCTTCTCTCTGCCATGTTGTTACCAATGCTGATCAAGAATGCAAGAGGGTGCTCCGGTCCTTCTGCCTGCTCTGCTCCCCGCTCTGGCTCTGGTGAATTCTCTCACCCTCCTGTGCTTCTGGCTGTACCCAGAGCATGTGTAAACAAAACAAACAAATAAATAAATAAATAAATAAACATGCCTCTATTAAAAAAAAAAAAAAAGAATGCAAGAGGAAGCTCTTATGGAGAAAATCTGCAGATAGACTGATGAAGATTCCAACTTTTTCATGTACTCTTGAAGACGAACTCAGGAAACCCTTCTACCCCACCAAATACTTTGGAGGTAATTGTGACTCTCTATTTTGGCATCCCCACTGGACATCTGTCCAGGGACTGTGTTATGTGGCCACTCTCAGTGAGCTCCTGGGCTCCTCCCTCAGAGCCTTTTGACAGTGTCACATAGCAACACAACAAAGAGGACCTCTGCTGAGACAGAGCCTCATACATGTGGTTTCCTTTAGCTGCTGTATAATTTTTTTAGCTATATGCTAAGTTTCCACTCATCTTAATCTTGTGGTGACAGTGCAAGAAGGGGGACAGGTGGGTTCTTCCTAGATAGCTTAGCATGTATAGCAAAGCATATACCCGTGTGGTTTGCCAGCCTCATGCCTCTTTTCGAAACCAATTCTTTGAGACCTTGCCACCTGCCAGCACTCTGTTATCACACCCAAGAGTATTCTCAAAACATCTTATCAGTTTATACTGCACTATCACGTGCTCATGTGCAGCTTCTTTACATTTGTGCAACGCAACTTTAAAACAATGTTTAGGGATTTTGTTCTCATAGGTCCTGTGCGAAGAAGACACTCTCTAATGCTGGAAGTAGCACTGTTTTAAACATAAGCACAAGAAGTTTTCACTCAACTGCACTATGATCCAATACTGTTCTGCATTATGCCCCTAAACCCTTAGCCAATAGCTTCTAATGAAGTCAAAAGTCACCTCTCTCCAATTCTCACCACTGTTGTCTATCTATGCTTAACTGTAATAATTGTTTTAATACAAACAGATGTCATTCCTATTCCAAAAGATAGTTCGAGGGTTAATACATCCCATACTCCCTTAAAATCATCTCATTTTCTTTTTCTCACAGTTACAAGCTGTCTGAACTCCAGCACTCAATCTGCTAGGATTCATTCACCCATGCCAAGGGCTGCTGTCAATTAACACAGAAAGACTTACTCTGGCTCAGTGGAAAGTTCTCTCTTTGCTCGAGTTAGTAATTTCTGAAAACATTATTTGCTCCCAGTACCAGCATGACTGAGGAGGTGACAGCGCCTCTGGAAGTAGTGCCCCGTCCTCCTAGAAGTCCACCAGCAAGCACTGGGCTTGTCTTTGGATCAGCTGAGCACTTGAAGCAACAGGCATTGGGGGGGATGGGGGGGGGCGGGGAAGGTAAACATAACAGTGTCCAAGAAAAGGCAGCAGTAACTCCTGCAAAGCACACTCCCCAAACTCATCAGCTGCAGCTTCTTTTTCACTCTGTTTACAAGTCTCTTAAGACATTTGCAAAGTGACCTTTTCTGCCTCAGAGCAATTCATTTACACAAGAAATATTTCATAAGATCTGACTTGTGCCAGATGCCACAGGAACACACAAAAAATTTGCCCCCCCCCGCAATGTTATATCACATCAAACTAGATGTAACGCTACAGTAGATCATGAGGGATTAAATAGCTCTGGAAATGCTGAGGGTTTTTCAAGAGGTGACCAGAAGCTTTTCAGAGTACTCTGATTCAAAACAAGGCCAGGGCTTGGGGAGGCAGACTAGGAGACCTAGTCATGGCTCACCGCAGAAACTAGCCTGGCAGTATGTTTTAAGGTTGCTGCTTCACCAGGAAGGAAACAGCTCGGAAACATTAGAAATACCCCATCTTGGTGGTCCCCAGGCTCAGGGCCTCACTAAGGAATATTTCTGGGTATGGAATAAAAAGATGCCTTGTGAACACACACAAAAAATTCCCTAAAATGGAAACCTAATGAGCGCATAGCCCCTTCCTCACTACCCTGACACCTTCCCCACTACTCTGAAAAGGCAGCAGTACAAACATCTAAAAATATTCTCAGAGCAGACAAAACAAAAGAGGAATGCTCATTTTGAGAGCCTGAGCACCCATGAATAGGGACAAAGGCAGACTGGGGCGATGTGTCTCTCACTAACCTACCCCCATTACATGGGTGAAAACACACAGTCTCTTTATCAGAGCTTTGGGGTCTCGAAGGAAAGAAAACATCAATAGCTTAAGCATTCCCTCAGCATCAGCTATTATGGTCTCCTATATTGAAGAACACTTTGTAAATAATTATTAAAAACAACAATAGCAACACTAGGAAATGCTAACTTGCAGTGTTACCTTCTTTTAACCAATTTAGAGTATCAACTGTGGGGTTTTAAGTTTATTTTAAGAGTGTTTCTAAGATTTTTAATGAGCACATGAGGGAGGAAATCTTAAAGGAACACTATTTATGATTGTCCTATTTGAAGAGTTAAACCCCAGGATGGAAGGGGTCTCAGTTACAGTCCATTACAATCTGTGGGCTCACACTGCCATGAATTTGCCAAGCAATCAGGTTGAAATACAACAGAAAATCACAGCGAGTGCTTCCAGACCACAACTCAAATTCTTGGATTTTAGTTTTAGCTCCAGACAAATCTGTTCATTTTAAATACTCTTTAGGGGATCCAAGAATGTCTGAATTGTAGAAAATTTAGAAAACACAGATTGCAGAAAGAAACTGCTTTTGCATTTACTTCTGTGATGAGGAGCCTGTGTCTGAAATCAATCTGGCAGGCTTGTGAAGGGGAGAAAGGGGCTGAGCCATTGCTTGGGGGGTGCAGGAGTAGGAAATGATCTTAATGACAGCAGGCTCTTTGTGAGTGAGTGGTATCCATGTGGGGGTGTTCAGGCAATGGTTTGACCTACAGGTCCCCACCTCCCTCCCTGCCACCTGAAAACAGAGCCAGAATGACTTTCCTTTGAGGTACCAAAGGAGCGACACTGAGATCCAGGCTCCTCTTGCCCCTGGCCACTTCATTCGGTTTTGGACTAAATATGGTACTCATAAGAGTCCAGAGAACACAGCAGGAAATGAAACTCAACTCTATCAAGGGCCATGCCTGCTTGAGATAAGAGGCTGCCTGGTGAGAGCCAGAGTGAGAGACTACCCCCTTAAACACAGATAAGTAGGGAAAGACCAGGCTCAGAGTAGCAGCCATCAAACCCACCAGTGCCTGCGGCTTTCTCTGACCATTATTCTTAGTACACAGGCAGCTTTTCTACTTCTAAGAAAGGAGGCATCATTATTAGAAAATGAGGCAAAAATCGTCTTCCATGAAGAAGCACCTGAAAAGTCACTAAAGTATGATTAAAACAATATATCTATAAATCTGTGATTAAATATTAGAAGTACTTAAAATTACTTCATTCTTAAGTTATGAGAATGAACAAGTAGCACAAGCCAACAGGAGTTAGTAATCAATATTTAGGGCACTTTCCTTAAAAACTGGCACAAGCAACCCAGGAGATATACAGCCACTAAAATATGCCTCTTTGACTTAAGAAAGAACAGAGAATCAAAAGCACATCCTTCAGTTAAAAGAATGATAATTAGTTGTTCACAAGTACTTGATTCTTCTCCCTCTTGAGCATCCTCTAAATTAATAGAGAAATAAAAACATTTTTGAGTATAAACTCAAAGCAAAGAAAATTAAAAGAAGAGTTTTCTGCACATTGGTGGAGGATTGGTAAGTAGTCACACAGGTAAAGGAAACCACAACACAGAGCCCAAGTTTGGGGAGGGGCTCTCTGTCCCAGGAACCCAAGAGGCTCAGAAATAAAACCATGGGAGGAAGGGAATGGGGAAGGTGCAAACAGGGTGGGGGAGAGCACAAGGGTCTATGGTGATGGACTAGGGGTGCTTTGGTGATGGGAGAGGTACGGTGACCACACCTGAGGGGAGAAATCATATTGCCCCAAAATTAACAATGATGTTAAAAAAAAAAAAAAAAAACACTGGAAAAAAATACAAAACACAGAGAAGGCCTGATCTAGCCTGGGGCTGACAAGGCAGTTCACTGAAAGTCTCCACAGGAAGGTTTCAGCCCCTCCCAACCCACCCAGAACAAGGAGCAGGCTTACACTTGGTGCTGTGGTTTGCAGCACCTTTTTGAAAAACTTGGCAGATCATCCATTATATTTCTTCTGAGACATCTAGTCATGTTTGAAAAGTACTCTATTTAAAGATTAGAATCAGAGAATATGAGGATTTGAAGAGACCACAGAGCTCACCCTGTCTAATCCACTCACCCTGCCAGGTGAGGAAGCGAAACAACGTGCCCACAGTACCTCAGGAGGCTGCACTCCTCCCCAGGACTCTCTCTAGCTCAAGCTTCCCATCAAAGTCATTGAGGGCCAGGGGAGGAGGTTCTGACTGGACCCTGCTGGCACCACCTCCACCCCCATTCCGGGAGAGCAGAGGTACCTTCTGAGCGGTGAATGCACGTGTGCTGATTATCACTCAGGAAAAACCCCTCCTTGCAGCGGCACTCATAGCTCCCCATGACGTTGACACAGGTGTGCTGACAGCCACCGTTGTTCTCCAGGCACTCGTCCACATCTGGAGAGAGAGAAGGATTAACCTTTGCTCCTGCGACTGTCAAACACTACACCCAGCCGGGCAGCTCAGCGACTCCAGCTAAGCAGAAATAAGGTTCCCCTCTGGTCCTTGCATCAGAAACTATCAGAACGGATGCTGCTGGGACCCAGATGTTGAGCCTAGCCTCCTGGGTCAGGAGCTCACTTGACTAGGCCCTCCACAGAGACACAAGTTAATCAATTCGGTAAATATTTATTTACTGAACACCTCTTTCCAAAGCGTGGCAGTAGGGATAGTAAAATACTCATAGCAGGATGGAATTCCTTCTCTCTCAGAGCATATTCTTTAGCAGAAGGAAGGAGACAGATGAAGAAGTCATGAGACAAGATAAAAAGTGCTACAAAGGAAAGAGTGGTCGTGTCTGCTTGTGGGGTATGAGGATGGGTTTAAGGAAAACTGATGGCAGATGAGCCCTGAAGGATTTCTTCCAACTTAAATCAGAAGAAGGGATTCCAGGCAGAAGAGAGTGTTAGCACCAGCAGGAAGACTGGGAGCATGGAATATGTTCAGATACAGAGTCATTCAATTTACCTGGTGCACAGGGACGGAGAGGGAAGTTACAGGAGATAAAACTGGGAAAAAGAACTGGGGTCACAGCGAGGAAGATCTTGAATTTCAGGCAAAGTAGCTTCTACTTCCTTTGGGAGACAGCTGGAAACCACTGATCAGGGGTTCCTGGTCAAGCCCTCCAGCTGGAAACAATAAGGTGGCAGTGGAGGGTAGGACACAAGGGAGAACTGAAATTCCAGGAGTCCAGCTTCACAGGAGCACCTGAAACAGCCTTGGCAGCACAGCAAGGGACTGGAGCTGGGGCCTGGCAGTAGGGGTGTCTAGGAAAGAAGAAATAGGAGAGGACTGCCAGCAAAGTAGAATAAAGTAGGGGTACAGGGAGGTGGCTGAGAAATGGGGAAGACCAGCACTGGGTGCAGAAATAGGGGTGAGGGTAAGGTGGCCCCACATGGCAGGGGGTTCTTCACAAAGCAGTTTTCTTCCATGTCCCCAGGGCAGGAGTAGGGGACCTATCTTTCCTCCACTGCTCACAGACCACCCTGTCCTCCTTAGTACACTTGCTGCATTGCATTCTCAACATCTTTTTCTTAACCATCTCCACTAGACTGCAAACTCCTTGTGGACAGAGATTTTTGTTTCAGTTAGCGCAGCACTGGAACCTGCAGGAGCACATTACTCTTCAGTGCATGAACAAACAAGGAGAGCACAGTATCATCAGAGCCAAAGAAGAGGAAACAGGCAGAAAATGCTCATACATGACAGGATCAAGGAGAAGGCTGATATCAAAGCAATTTATGTTCTCCAGCCTGACTTCTCACATGCCTATCACTAGCTCCTAGGCACATCCATAACAAGAAAATTCACATTTAAATATCTGTTATCTGGTTTCAAGCTTCAGATCTTATAGTCATCCATCCTCCCACACTACCGAGCAGATGCCTTTCTAAACTGATGGGACTCAAGCCATCCCCTAAAGCCTAACAAACTTGCCCTTCTCTACACCAATGGGTGAAGGGAGCACATTCCAGAGGATGGGCTGCGCTGGAACACACCTGGCCTAGGTGAGGACTCACAGTGAGCAGATCTGTTTCCCTGAACATTAAATCCTGGGTTGTTTCTGAGTAAAAGTGTGCCCCCCTCTGAGCTGCCCCACAACCACTCCACAACTAACCCACTGTTCCTTTTCTCCAAAGCAATTAGAAAGGGGCCTTTAAGTTGGATGGTGTGCTCTGATTGAATCCTCTCACTCCCCACATCTCTGGCCTGTACCCAGGTCTTGTATGCATAAATAAATAAATCTTTAAAAATAAATAAATAAATGTTTCAAGGGATTCTACTGTGTTGCTACATCCTAATGTGCTCCAAGACTGAATAACAATCTATGATGAACTCCCAGACACTCAATAAGCAGAAACTCAATTCTGGTGGGGTGAGCTATGAGAAAGAGCTACATTTCAATTATCGGGCTCACACGCATTCAGGGTCTTGGAGCGTGCCAGGTCGAGTGCTGAGCTCACTGGTGTTTGTACTCCATATGTTCCGGCTAATTCAGTGGAGGCTGCATATGCAGCTAAGGAGGTCACTAAGCCATCCTAGAGAACACAAGGAGCTGCTGCTTCTGAAAAATTTTCGCTCTGAGCTACTTTTTTTGTCATGAAATGCTTTAGCCCTTTCAAATCTAAATGGCACATGAGCCTCATTTGTGCTGGTCTTGCTCCTCTTCATGAACCACTTTGTTTTCTCCTGCCTTCCTATTAGAGAGTCCTTGGCCCCTTCAGATATATAGGTGGGTGTTCAAGATCTTTCTGGAAGGCATATACTTGCTACCAAGATGAAAAAAGAGGCCCCAAAAAGGGTAAATGGAGAGTGTACTGAAATACCTGTGTTCACTAGAAAAAACTCAGCCTCGGGATTCCTGAGCAGATCCTTGTTCAGAACTTCCCCTCTCAAGACTGGCCCAGGTCCTTAACCCGTGAATGGTTTAGCTTGTTGCTCTTAGGAAGCTCACACTTCCCCCTAGGCTTCGGGTCTAAGGATGTCTGCCATCAGAGACCAAGCCTTGAAATGCCACTATTGGCAATTCAAAAGGAAATATGAGACTTAGCCCCTGAGCATGGTAAAATGCTTCCTAACCAATTATACACAGAAAGCGATTTCATTATTTTAATTTTAATTAATCTCTATTTATTACTGCTCTCAGGATTATCTTTCCAATATGCCTTCTTGAGATACTGACTGCTTAGACAGTCTACAAAGGGGTTAGCCAGTCCCCAGTCCTCAATCAAGCCTTACTGACAGCTGCAGGCTCAGACCCAAGCGGTCTGACAACCCACAGTCAGACCTGTCACAGGACAGAGATAGGAAGGGACAGAGTCTACCTCAGGAGGGCTCCAGGTGACACCAAAATGGGATTAAGGTCTTACTAGGGTTGACTCCTAAATGGAAATACTCTCCTTCCCCATTACTCAAAAAACAAGTTCTGCCTGTACTTATCTAGTAACTTTTATGCTGATCTCAAAGTATTTGATCAGCTGGCCACTCCCACTGCACCATAGACTGAAGACCTATCCCACAGAATCAGGGCCTGGCTCAAGTTGCTTCTTAGTGAGTCAGGTAGACATCTGCAGGTCAACCACATGAAGAGTCATCAATGTCTGAGGGAGCTGATGCCATCTGTCTCCCAGGACATTCTCCTATACTACTGAAAACACCAGCCTTGAAATGCAAACAGGCCACAAAGCACCTGCCTCACATGTGTTCTGCACCATCTAAGACTAACCAACACTAACCCCATCCAATTGCTTGCTAGTTCTAAGTTCTGTTTTATTCCTGGTATAAGGAGTCAATGGGAATAACACTCTTTACAGTCCCAAACTGACGTTCCCACAGATATTCTGTTTTGTGGAATGCTAGGAGGATGTTAATGGGAGGATTCTGTATAAATTTCTCTTTTAAGAAAAGAGACAGGGATATACTTGGCTGAGATTAAGCACACACTGGGCATCTTCAGGGCCAGGAGTGTTACCTAATTATAGAATTAGGTATTAGAATTACAGCATTAAAGAAATGGTTTTAAGTAAAAAGCCATTCAACACAAGACCAAAGATTTTAAAGGTGACACGTCAATGTTAGAAAGTCAATAAATAGGGGCCTCTCTTGGTGGCGCAAGGGGTTAAGCACCGCACTATGAAGCAATCTGCAGCCTCTGCAGCACTAGTTCGATCCCCGGCTGGCCAGGGAGCAACTCACATGGTGCAGCAGACTTCTCCTGACTCACCTGCTACTCCCCTCAGCAGTGTATTTCAGTCAGTCTGCCTGTTCTGTTCCCAATTCTGTCTCTGATGGATCCTCTTATCCCTTGCATCTCTGGCCTGTGCCCCAGCTCTTGTATGCATAAATAAATAAATATTTTTTTAAAAGTCAATAAATAATAATGAAGGTAGCCACCCATTACCTTGCACAAAGGAAAGAGTTATACTATGAGTGATCACAGAAAAAAATAAAACACTTTACCCAGTTTTCTATCAGGGGCCCAGAAAACACATTTCACCTGATTCCCTTTTTGTTTTAATAAGTATGTTTTCATCAGAAGGAGGAAAGAGGTGGGGATGCCGGAGGGTAGGTAAAGGAGAATTGCCATTTCCAACCGTTTTCCTTACCAAGACAATTATGACCATCATGAGCCAACATGAAGCCATCAAAACAAGTGCAGCGATAATTGCCTGGAATATTCAAACAGTCATGGACACAGCCTCCATTGAGTTCATTTTCACATTCATCAATGTCTGAGGGATAAAACATAAATAAAGTAAACCAGATGGGTATATTTCTTTAGTATGGAGATCTATGCATCTACCTTTTAACCTGCCATCCCACTTCTAGAAATCTATCCTGATGATACAACTCCAACAGCAGGAAAATAATATGCACAAGGATATTCATTACAGCATTTGAAATTACAAACAAACAACATAAATGCCCATGCATAGCAGAATAGTTGAAGAATTATGTTACATTTATTGTAGAGAGCATTTTGCAGCTTTTTTTTCCCCAGAAAGCATGAAAATGACCTCTATGAATGATTTGGAATAACTTCTAGGATATATTATTTTTTTTAAGATTTATTTATTTATGCATACAAGAGCTGGGGTACAAGCCAGAGATGCGGGGGGTGAGAGGATCCACCAAAGACAGAATGGGGAACAGAACAGGTAGACTGACTGAAATGCACTGCTAAGGGAGCAGCGGGTGAGTCAGGAGAGATTTGCTTTACCATGTGGGTTGCTCCCTGACCAGCTGGGGATCAAACTTATGCTGCAGAGGCTGCAGATTGCTTCATAGTCCAGTGCTTAACCCCTTGAGCCACCAGGGAGGCCCTAGGATATATTATTAAGTAAAAAAAAAAAATCAAAGAGCAAAAGAGTGTTTGTAGTATATTATCTTTATATTAAAAATAAGGGAATATGGGCCTCCCTGGTGGCACAAGGGGTTAAGCATAGCACTAATGAAGCTATCCGTAGCCTCTGCAGCATGAGTTTGATTTTGGCAGGTCAGGTAGCTAAGTACATGGTGCAGCAGACCTCTCCTGTCTCTCCTGCTGCTCCCCTCAGCAGTGTATTTCAGTCAGTCCTCCTGTTCTGCTCCCCACTCTGTCTCTGGTGAATCCTCTCACCCACCCATCCCCTAACCTCTAGTCTATACCCCAATTCTTGTATGCATAAATAAATAAATCTTAAAAAAAAAAATAAGGGAACATAGTACACACACACACACAAAATTCTTGCAAGCTTTTTTGTAAAACCTGACAAACTTATCCTAAAATTTATACGGAAATAAAAAAGACTCAGTAAACAATTTTTAAAAGGGAGAACACATTTGGAGGATTTTTACTCACTAAACAGCTACAATTATCAAAACCGTGTGGTATGGACTTAAAGATAGACATATGTTAATGAAAGATTATTGAGAATTTGGAAATAAACCCATGTGGTTATGGTCACTTGATTTTATGCAAAAGTGGTAAGGCAATTTATCAGTAGTCTGTAGACAATGATGCTAAGACAAGTGGATGTCAAATTTTCTGAAGTCTAAAATTATTTCAAAACAGACAGTTGTGTTTTTTTAATTATGGCTTCTTATACAAAAACCAAGTTTAGATTTATACTTATTTAACATGATTCACTTTCCTGAACTGTGCACACTGGAAAGAAAAATACCAGTTTAAGCAACTGAAAAACAATATCTTAACTGAATGTTGTGAGCCTAAATACAAAAATTGTTGTGTACAAATGCTGTACCCTAATTAGTAAATCTGTTTTACTCACAGGATTCTGGACTAGTAATTGCATAAATACTTTATGTGTGTACTAGGATTAAACAAACAGATGAGAGCCATGTTTCTCACTGCTGGGGAAAGAAGCTATGAATAAACAGAGAGGTTAGAGTGAATCTTGTAGTATTGATTTGAAATCTAAAGATTCAGTGTAACTCAATGTTTTTAATATACTTATAATCAGATAAGTGTAAGGTATATATATATAGATACATGAGTAGGCAGGGCTGCATATACACACATATATTTCCTAACTGTCCACTTAGAAGAACTACAAGTAGTTCTACTTGTAGGGTAGAGCCATTACTTACTAGGGTGTACAATGACACCCGAGTGACAATGAGAATACCAAGCATCCAAGTGTTGGTTTTCCAAAAATAAAGGATCCAAGGTTCCTTGGAGAAGTGGTTGAGTGCAGGATTGGGGAAGGAAAAATGCAAGATAAGTCTGGAGCATCTGGGGTACAAGAATATTAGGAATTTCTCTTAAAGGATAGGAGCAAGTCAAAAGGACTCAGGAGATAGTGTGAAGAAGCTCCCAATGGCTAAGCTGGAAGAATTTGAGTGAAAAAAAAAAAAAACTAGCTAGCTATACATATTACTAAATCCCCATGAGTCCATACTTGCACAAGTACATGAACTACTGAATAAGTAAATGGGGAAAAGGGATAGATCTTTCTTCAGAATAATCCCAATTATAAAAGTATAAGGGATGAGGGAAATACAAAATTACCAGGAAGCACACATCACAGTAATAATTGTTGCAGGCAACACCCACAGTTGGATGTTAAAACCAATAAGGAAAGATTTAAAAGAAATAGGATCTTAAATAAGCTCAAAGTATCTGGCCCAAGGTATGTCTCTAGTACAAAAGGACAAAACAGTAACTTTGGGGTGGAGAAACTCAGAATACACCATCTTAACCAGGTGATCAAAATTAACATCCCCTGTAATGGGAACACGTTGACATTGTGTTCCAACCTCCCATGTGCCACACCCAGAAGGACACACCAGCACCTCATAGCAGCTGTACCAAAACTTTACTTTTGTATTACTACAAAATGCATACCCCCCGTCTTATCTTATGTTGGGAAACATAGGAATTCTCTAATGGTGTTGATTTAACCATATCAATTCTTACTAAGAGAAAACATAAGGCAAATAAAAGAACTGAGCACTACTCATCAAAAGTGGCAAGGTCATGAAAGTCTGAAGAACAGCCACAGACTGGAGGAGGCAACAGCTAAATGTAATGTGGGATTTTGAACTGGATCCTGGAGTGGGGATGGGGTGAATATTAAGTGAAAACTGGTGAAATTTGAATAAAGTCTAAAATTTAGTTAATAATATTGTGCCAAAGTTAATTTCTTGGGTTTGATACTGTACTGTGGTGATATAAATTGCTAACATTTAGGTAAGATAAGTGAAAGGCATATATGAATTCTGCACTATTTTTGCCCATTTTCTGAAATCTAAAATGATTTCAGAATACAGTGTTTTTTTAAAATCGTACCTTCTTATACAAAAACCAAGTTTAGATTTATCCTTATTTAATTTGATTCACTTTTCTGAACTGAGAAATAAGGACCATATAATGAATAATAACCACTAACATACCTCTTCCCCAAAGTCTGGGAAGACCATTTAGAATAAAAATATACTGTATCTAAAACCATTTCTGAATCACATTGTTTTAAAAATACTTATTCAGGGCCCATGATTTTATTTCTTCAACATTTCTGTAAAAGAAACATGGTGGAATATAAAATTTTCATCACTCTGAGCCAACCTAGATCCTATTCTTGAACTTACACAAGAGCAGTGAGCCTGGCAATAATCACAAACCAAATGATACCGTGCCTTGAGCCCAAAAGGCTTAAAAACTTATAAGCCAAGAAACACACATAAGTTATATCTTGGAATATTTATATTTTTGAGTTCTTGCAATCTTCATTTTCTCTCCTTTTTCCTTCTTGGAGAAGTTTCCATTCTGGATCCCTGCACCAAGAAATCTGAACTAAATAGGAAAATCCTTACTCTTTAGATTCTAGAACCACTACAAATATTTAAAAGATCAAATCCTTCTCAGGGTTTAGTTTAAAATGACAGCACAAAGAAAATACGTTCCCTGTTAGCAGTGATTACCTATGGATAAGGGAATAAGAGGTCTTTGATTTTTCATTTTGTACATTTTTGTATTGTTTGACTTTTACAACAATAATCCCATAATATTCTTAAACCTATATATAAATAATGCCAATCAATCATTAGTTATTTCAAACAAAATAGGAAACTATAAACTATAACTATAAACTCTTAACCATTCAATTTCATTTGTAATATGTCTAACTCCACAACTATGGATAAGACAACTCTTGCCAAAATGTCATTCAACATCATTTGCCAAATACGTACTTCATTTATAAGAAACCACACATGATTTCTACCCCCCAGAAAGCAGAGTGATTGGAGGGCATAGTGAAAAAGTGAACATTCTTTTCTTCAAGCAGGGCATTGACATGTGAATCCCAGTACAATAACTAGAACATTTAATACAGTGAGAATGTGTTATGAAGGAATTGACAGAGATGCTACAGAACTCCCATGATGCAGGGCAGGTAGAGCAAGAGAGATGGCCAGCTATCTCTGGGAAAAATATGGCCTGTGGGAATCCCAAGGGTTTTATGGATGGACCATCAAGCCCACGTACTGTGAATCTGAACATGCCTTCTCTGATGGGAAAGGCCCCTCATGCACAGAGGGGACAGTAAATATCAAAATTCTCACCCAGCTAAAGCGACACCAAAGGGCTGTGGGGCCAGGGACAGAGCTAAGATGGAGATCTAACTTTTTCACCTGAAGGCTAATTGTGTGATCATGGTCACAAGTCCCTTTTTCAATTCTCCTGGGCCTCAGTGTCCCCATCTATAAAATGAAGAGTCCTGTCAGCTGCAACAAGCTATCATTTCCATCCCCAGGAACAGCATTCTCTTACAAGGGTCCAGTCTCGGGCCAGTTCTGACCCTGAGCTAATCCTCAATGGCTCAGAACACAAAACAACAGAGTCCAGATTTAAGCTCCCAGATCTAAAATTCTAGGGGATTAAAAGATCCCTTTGCACATATCTTTCAGGATGAACTTGCAGCTCCAAGTGAGGCAGGCCTTTAGTGTAACTCTAAAGCTTGGTTGGTCACAATGTCAAGAAGACATGAACAGGATGGAGCCTCTGGAACCAGCAGGGACGGCAGGATTCTGGCACTCACATTCCATGTTGAGAGTACACACTGTACCAGGGAGGTGCAGGAACAGCCCTGCTGTAGTAGGGAAGGCTCACCTAATGAATCTGTTTGTTAACTTTTTACCTGCAAACTGAGTGGGACCAAAAGATGCTATAGCACCTCTATTCCT